ACTTTTGGTTCTGATCATGATGTAAATGCTGTACGTGAGAAAGAAAAAGGAGAGCGCAAACAAAGAAAACAGTCTGAGAATAGAACTGTAGAGGGTATCTATAATCTTCCAAATTTAAGATATCCTCTTGGAGTTCATTCGAAGAAACATTTACAACGTCTCTCTAAAGAAGAAATTTTCAAACCTTATCTCACGAACCAGCCATTCACACATAGAAACTATGACTCTGTCTCCTCCGCTCCTAAAATCAAACAAAAATGGATACCAAAAGCTGAACTTGAAAAACAAAGAACATTATCTGAAAAGGCTGTTGACCTTGGATCACAGCTGAAAGAAAAATTCAAAAGGATATTCTCAATTGATAAGGAAGGACCCATCCTGCGGTGGGTACCTAAAAGTCCCTAATCTGTTTTGCAGGACGGTCATGTGTGGCATTTAGATTCTGGCTGCTCAACCCACATGACCGGAATAAAAGAACTGTTGAGCAACTACACAAAGTGTTACGGAGGAAATGTGAGATTTGGAAACAATGCAGCATCTCCAATCCTAGGATATGGGGATGTCATCTGTGCAAGTGTCACCATCAAGGCTGTGTCATATGTGAAAGGACTAAAGCATAATCTGCTAAGCATTGGACAGTTCTGTGATAGTGGCATGGAAGTGAAATTTATAGCCAGACAATGCTGTGTGCTGGACAGGTTTGGGAAGGTATTATTGACCTGCACAAGAACTTCCAACCTGTACACCATTGATCTGAAGAGCGTACAATTACCTTCTTCCATCTGCCTGCTGTCCAAAGCTTCCTCTGAACAAAACAGTCTATGGCACAGACGCCTGTCTCATCTAAACTTCAAAGCAATCACAGCTCTATCTTCCAAGAAACTTGTGAAAGGGCTGCCTCCTTTGAAGACTTCCGCTGACACTCATTGTGATGCATGCAGACTAGGCAAGATGAAAAGGAGCTCTCACAAGTTAAAACTTGTTCCATCCTCCTCCCGACTGCTGCAACTATTACACATGGATCTGTGTGGACCAATGAGAGTCCAAAGCATCAATGGACGCAAATATACACTGGTCATTGTGGATGACTTCTCTCGGTACACATGGACCAAATTTCTGAGGACAAAGGATGAAACAGCTGCAACCATAATAACCTTCATCAGGACAATCCAAAATTTTCTACAAAAGAGTGTGGAGATCATCAGAACAGATAATGGTACCGAGTTCAAGAATCAGTCTCTTGCTGATTTCTATGAAACTCAGGGTATCACACAGCAATTCTCTGCAGCAAAGACACCACAACAGAACGGGGTCGTTGAAAGAAAGAATAGAACTCTTGTTGAAGAAGCACGCACCATGCTCATTCAGTCAAAGCTTCCCCATTTCATGTGGGCTGAAGCAATCAACACAGCGTGCTTTACTCAGAACAGAACATCAATTCACAAGCGCTTCAACAAGACCCCCTATGAAATACTCTTCAACAGAACACCTGACATCTCATTCTTCAGAGTGTTTGGCTGCAAGTGCTTTGTTCTAAATGACAGAAATGAAAGAAGCAAGATGGATCCGAAAGCCATCGAAGGAGTATTCATTGGGTACTCCACGCAATCAAAGGCGTATCGGGTTTATCTACGTGATCGCAGAACAGTCATTGAGAGTGTCAACGTTGCATTCTATGAAATGGCTGACTTTGCTTCTGAACATTTCTTGATAGAACACACACTCTCTGATCAAAGGAAGCAACCTGATGGAGCTGAAGCAACGAAGCAAACAACGGCTGACAGTGCAATTCTCGACTCTCTCTTTGAACATTTCTATGAAAATGCACGCACTGCCAACCAACAATTACCAACAGAAGCTGCTCAACCACCATTCATGCCTGACCTCAGTGAAGAAGAAGCTGACTCGCCTCATACATCAGATCACGAAGATACTGAGGATCATGGCACGGCAGCAACACAAGCAACTTCACCAGCACAAGTTTCAGAAATACCAGCTCAAGCAAACACAGAACCTGAATCGACCCCTGAGCACTCCACTCCTCAACAAACCACATCTACTACTTTTGAGGACCCGGATCACCTCATCATAACTCCAATCCCTCTAACTCATGAGCGGAAATGGACAAAGGCACATCCTGCAGAACAAATTATTGGAGATCCGAGTCGTGGAGTTTGCACAAGAACAGCTACAGCAAATGAATGTCTCTTCTCCTGCTTCATCAGCCAATCTGAACCAACCAAAGTTTCTGAAGCACTGAAAGATCCTGACTGGGTAATCGCAATGCAGGAGGAGATCAATCAGTTTGAAAGATTAAATGTATGGACCCTAGTGCCGAGGCCCTCGAAGAAAACAATAATTGGCACTAAGTGGGTTTTCAAGAACAAGAAGGATGAAGATGGTGTAATCATAAGGAACAAAGCTCGACTGGTTGCAAAAGGATACAATCAACAAGAAGGCATTGACTATGATGAAACCTTTGCGCCAGTGGCCAGAATTGAGGCAATCAAGTTGTTCCTTGCTTATGCTGCTCATAAGAGTTTCACCGTCTATCAAATGGATGTCAAGACTGCATTTCTGAATGGAGAACTGAAAGAAGAAGTTTACGTGGCACAACCAGAAGGCTTTGTTGATCCTGAACGTCCACATTATGTCTACAAGCTAAAGAAAGCTCTGTACGGACTCAAACAAGCACCGAGAGCCTGGTATGATGCACTTTCTGATTTTCTTGTACAATCAGGCTACTCGAAGGGAAAGATAGATCCAACTCTTTTTATCAAGCGAGAGAACAGTGACATCATGCTGATACAAATCTATGTCGATGACATCATATTCGCCTCGTCTAATCCGAACTTCTGCGAAGAATTCAGCAACTTGATGCGCACTGAGTTCGAAATGAGCATGATGGGAGAGTTGAACTTCTTCCTAGGGCTACAGATCAAGCAACTGCCAGACGGAACTTTCATCAGCCAGTCGAAGTACATCCATGAAATGCTCAAAAGATTCAAGATGGACAGCAAGTCAACCATGAAAACCCCCATGTCTCCCTCACAAAAGCTCGACTCTGACCCTTCCGGGATATCAGTCGATGCTACCAATTATCGGGCTATCATCGGTTCCTTGCTGTACCTGACATCTAGTAGGCCGGATATTGTCTTTGCAACTTGCCTGTGCGCTCGTTTTCAAGCAAATCCAAAGGAATCACATCTGAATGCAGTAAAAAGAATCCTGAGATACCTAAAAGGAACAGTCAATTTAGGACTTTGGTATCCCAAGGACACGGGTTTTGACCTTGTTGGTTACTCAGATGCTGATTTCGCAGGTTGCAAGTTAGACAGGAAAAGTACATCCGGTGGTGCTCAATTTCTGGGAGAGAAGCTAGTCTCCTGGTCCTCCAAGAAGCAGAACTGCGTGTCAACTTCTACAGCCGAGGCAGAATACGTTGCGGCTGCTAGTTGCTGTTCACAAATCCTATGGATGAGGACTGATAGCCGCTTTCGCGGCGTTGTAGTAAAACGGAGTCTAACCTTTCGGTTTTTCCCCGAGTATCGTGTCTCTCGAGGAATGGCGGAGGAGCTTCTTGATTTCAAGTCCAGTCACAGGTTATCGCAAATTATTGGAAGCTTTCCAAATTAAAACTTTTGATTGATTTTCTAAACTACTTTTTGGAAAAGAAAGTAAATTAAATTGTGCAAATACTAATGATGGCTCAAAAATAGACTAAAGGAAAAAATATAATATTAAACTTAAATGGATTGATGCAAATAAGGGCAATGAATTGAGTAATTAGAAATGGATATATTCTTGGACCTAATAATTAGGGAAATTAAAACTAAAAGTGGACTAATAATTTCTTTCCTCATAGACAAGAATAGAAACTATTTTCATTAATTTATCCTATTTCTAGGTGTCATTAATGTGTTCAAAATGGTTGGCTTGAATTAAATTCTAACCTCATAGACAAGGTAGAAATAATTCTCCAATATTTTAATTAATAAAAATAGCCAAATTCATTAACTAGTTAAACTCATTATTTAAGCAATTGAATTTATCTCTCATAGACAAGATGTAAATCCCTTTCATTAAATTATCCTATTTCTAGGCCTTATTAATGTGCTCGAATATGGTTGGCTTAAATTATTTTCTAATCTCATAGACAAGTTAGAGATAATTTTCCAAGAATTTAATTAATGAATATGGCTAACAATTATTAATTACTATTTCATCATTTCAAACAACTAGTCCCCATTATTAATTTTAATCCCTAATTTTTTGGTCAACAAGTCAATCCATATTCCTTTAGTCAATTCATGCCCAAAACAAATTTAGCTAATAAAGATCATTTTAACAACTAACAATATAATGAATATATTCAACATTAACAAGGAATTAAACATGGATGATAGCAAAACTTATATTCTGGAACAATAAACTTGTAGAAACTGAAGTATAACTTTCTGGAATTTTTCACGAATTTTTGAACCTAAAATCCAATTCTAACAACTAATTGATAATTTTCCCAAATTTAACTAGAAAATGCAAAAAGCAACTAAAATTATTTTAAATTCGTTCTAAATTTTATATTGACTACTGGAGTGATATTACTGTGAATTAAACTAGAATTAGGCAGAAACTAATTTTTTTCCTTTTTGAGTATTTAATTTAATTTATGCAATAATAACAACTAAATGCCGGAATTAATTAAAATTTACTTCTACTTCGTAAAAATTAACTTTGTTTTGATAAATAACTACCTTGAGGCTAGTAAACAACTATATAATTAATTGGAATGGATTTAATGTCAACAACTATTTTATTCAAATTTAAGAAGAAAATGCGAAATAGTGGAATAATTTTCTGAAAATTTTAGAAGCACAGATAGAAAAAACTAAATACAGATTCAGATTCTACTCATTGAAAGGATGAAAATACATATAAAGAACTCACAATTTGGAGCTAAAATGAGAAAGATATGAAAGATTGAAGTTGAAGGTGCAACAATGGTGGAAATCCGAGCTTTGAGGAGGAAGAAGACGCCCTTTTTGATCTGATTTGGGCTTGAAATTGGTGTATTTGAGTTGAGGAAAAAGCCTGGATTTTATAGCCGAAAAATTCCCGTAGGCGCCCGGGCAGGCGGCCGCCTTCCGGCAACCTCTGGCCGCCTGCCGTCCTGTCGCCGGCAGACCGTCGGTGGCGGTCCCGTCAGCCGTAGGCGGCCACAGAGGGCGGCCGCCTTCTGTCAAAAATGGCCGCCTGCCATCTTTTTGTTGGCAGATCGGATCCCGACGGATCCCGGCGGACCCCGGCCGCCGCAGGCGGTCCAGCAGGCGGCCGCCTGCCGTCCTGTCTGGCCGCCTGCCGTCTTGTCTGGCCGATCGATGGTTGGTTTCGTCCCCTTGTGCCGCAGGCGGCCACCGTAGGCGGCCGCCTTCTGTCCAGTGTCGGCAGCCTTCGGTCTTTTCCTGGTCCCGAGTCAAAGCGAGGTTGACTTCTGAATTTTCCCGTAGGCGGCCGCGAAGGCCTCCATTTTGGGCGCCTATTTGGGCGCCTTCGGCCACTTTTGTCTGGCAGATGCGGCTTTTCTTGCTCTTCAACTTTGTCTTCTGAATCACCTTGATAAAATGCTTGCTTCTTCCGGTATAAATGCATTTGTCACTCAAATTGACTCATTTTGTGCTCAATTGACCCGAAATCCCGCTAAACATATTATGGATGTGATTTTTACCTGATTTCATGAAACTTGAACCAAAATATATAAAATGTGTCTTTTCTTTCTATTTTCATTCAAAAATCGCTTAAATTTGATAAGAAAAATAAGTACAAAAATGGACTTATCAAGGACACAACTCAGAGACTATGGCTTCCTATTCAACCATATTCCCATCTACAGTGACTCCCAAAGTGCAATCGCCATAACCAGCAACCCCGTTCATCACTCGCGCACCAAGCACATCGACCTGCGGTATCACTTCATCAAGGACCATGTGGAGAAGGGAGATGTTGATTTATACTTTGTTAGCACCGAGCTTCAACTGGCTGACATATTTACTAAGGCATTGGATGAAAAGAGATTCCAGTTCTTAGTATCTAAGTTAGGCATGTTGAATCTCGATCCTATGTAGTTGTGTTATCTCCATGGTCTGAATAAAATGTGTGTGTGTGTGTGGTGTGCGTTGCATGTGTTGAGGGGGAGAAAAGGGGAGAAAATAAAAGAGGGAAGAATACTTTGAGGGAGAGAAAATCAGAAAAGTCAGAAAAAGAGTGTGTGTGTGTGTGTGTGTGTGTGTAGAAAATCAGAAAAAGAGTGTGTGTGTGAGTAAAAAATCAGAAAAGTCAGAAAAAGAGTGTGTGTGTGTAGAAAATCAGAAAAAGAGTGTGTGTGTGTGAGTAAAAAATCAGAAAAGTCAGAAAAAGAGTGTGTGTGTGTGGGTAGAAAATCAGAAAAAGAGTGTGTGTGTGTGTGTAGAAAATCAGAAAAGAAGAAAAAGAGTGTGTGTGTGTGTGTGTAAAAAATCAGAAAAGAAGAAAAAGAGTGTGTGTGTGTGTTTTTCATTTTTTTTCATGCACAATTTGAGGGGGAGTTTTGTTTATCTACGAGAGTGCAAGTGCTTTTGGGCCTCATACATTTTTAAACAAAAGGGAAACTGGGCCCAACTCAAACCTCTGGGCCCAATCAAATTTTCTCGCAAGGCCCAAAATCAACTTCCCGCATATTTAAAGGACTTCGAGAACCCAGAATCATATATTTTTCGCATTCTCAGTTCTCGAAGTCCAGAGCAAAAAGTTTTCGCAATCTTCTCGACCCCATTCTTCTCTGAACCTTTCTCGCATCAATCAAAAGGTAGTAAAAATCGTTCTTAATCATGAAAAACAACAGTAAACCAGTTTACGCTCACAATGTAAAGGTTCTCGAGTTCAAACTTGGGAAATTTCTCGAGTTTGTATACCGAGAACCACTTTTTCGAAATCGGAAATTTGACATCGAAAAGCTTTCAAGCTAAAAATTAGTTATTATTATGATTGTGTGAATTTGCAGGTGGTTCTCGACATATCCTCTGAGTACGAACTCGAGAAATTCACCTTCTCGATGTTTAGAACTCGAGATCAATTTCTCGATATTTCAAAATTCGAGGTTCGGTTCTCGATATTAAACCTCGAAAAGAGTCTTTTCGATGTTTAATACCGAGAACCTACTTCTCGAAGTTGGAAATACCGAGAAGATGGTTCTCGATACTGAACCTTGAGAAGATGGTTCTCGATGTTTAAATCTCGAGAAGGACTTTTCGATACTTCTATATCGAGAACCAAGTTCTCGATATTTAAGTATCGAGAAGAGCTTCTCGATATTTAAACCTCGAGAACCTACTTCTCGACATTCAAACCTCGAGAAGTTGGTTCTCGTGGTTTACACTCAGAAATTTTCTCAAGGTTCCACCTGTACACATCTGATCTGAAAAATTGCAAAAACAGAACAAAAATAAAACTTTCATTTGAACAATGTGCTGACCCAATGTCTTCAGCTAATCATGTCAGGAACAGACAAGAATACACAATCAAGCAATGAACTGTACCCAAAAGAGAACTGGGTCCCACTTCATGACAACAACTTCCAATTGGACCTGAAGCTTTTCAAGTGTCAGGACCCAGTCATTCTCTCCATTTTACAGAAGCACTACCTTTGGACCGCATTCAATGAAGCCAAACCAGTACCAATGGTTTACCTGCAACAGTTCTGGGGCCTGATGCACACAGCCTCAGAAAAGGACAGGTCAAAAATCATGACCAAGCTGAACGACAAGAGAGTGGTGCTCACACCCTCCACAATCAGGGAGACACTGAAGCTCCCGGTCCTACAGAACTACGTACCCCTGCCTACCAATGAAGAACTGATCAAGGGGATGAAGGATTTAGGCTATGACAGCCCGCTGCCCCTGCTGTCAAATTTCACTATCTCCAACATGCCCCACCCATGGAAGAGTCTGTTCGGCCTGGTCAACAAATGCTTGTCTCCTAAGCATGCCGGACATGACAAGTGCAACAAGCAGATCCTACAAATCTTCCATGGGATTGCATATGACAAGAAGTACGACATGGCCCAGCTCTTCTGGACAGAGCTGATGGACCAGGTCAAGATGAAGGAAAACAACAAAGGAAGCACAATTCCCTACGCTCGGTGGCTGGCGCTGATGATCCACAACATGTTGGAAGCCACCCCCACAATGCCTAAGCGCAAGGAAGACAAACACTTCGCCGCTCCAAAGCTCAAGTACTTCCAGAGAGACAACAATAAAGCTGAAGCACTGCCAATTCCGGATTCTCTGCTCAATCTAGCAAACCCGAAGGACAAGGCAATCATTGACTATAAAGAGTCACTAAAGAGAACTGTTCCTATGGTTCAGCAAAACCCAGCTGGACCTTCCCAGGGAACCAAGCCGAGAGAAAGTGAGGGTAAGAAGAAGAGAGCCCCGCCACAGAAACCAGTGGCAACCCGGCCTAATGATGATCAGTCTGCTAACTCTTCCGAGAGGACCCAGACTGCTGAGGGCCACTCTAATGCTGAGGACACTGTCGATGAACCATCAAGCCAGGCCCCTTCTAATAAGGCTGGTGGTGAGGCCTCCGATAGCATGGCCAAAGGGAATGAACGAAGAGATGATGATGATGATGATGATGATGCAGATGATGATGATGACATGGAGGGAGTCCTGATCAGCAACAGGAAGAGAGCTGGTAAACAGGCCATTCCGATAGACTCCGACTCCTCATCAGAAAATATTGAGGCTGCACTCACACCCCGACCACTCAAAGGGATCATCATTAGTGAGCAGCGCTCCAAGAAACGCAATGAAAAGCCTGCATCATCACAGCCTAAGAAGAGGCTCAGAAAGAAGAGTGCAGTGGAAGAGGAGCTGGCACTGTACGATGACTGTGACACCTTCGTCACTATAGACCGAACCACGCCCCTAGGAGCAGGAGCTGATCCTGTCAGTTCCCGGGTAGAAGTCGCAGCATCCGGTTCAACTGCGCATGCACAGCCATCTCCCATCCACTCTCCAGTCTCCCAACAGACTGGGGTTTCAATAACACAAGGGGATGCGAACTTACACCGACCTCACTGATTCCTTCCGAATCTGCTGAGAGACTTAGTGGTCAACAGCCCCGGACCACTACCCCCATCCGTTCTATCACATCGAGTCTAGGTGTCACCATTCCTACATTCTCACATTTTTCTAGGACACCTACACTATTCACTGCACATACAGGTGCACTCACCCTGAATGCAACGACCGGAGTGCAAACTATGATGGTCGGAAGCCCTGCCACGCCAACAATGCCTCGATCATTGAACGCAGGCCACACATCAGCTATCTTCACTGATGCTGTGACAACAGTTACAACCCCTGTAACTGGTACCATTATCCCCGAAGACATTCTCGTATATCTGAATAGCTTTCTAGAGTCTACCATTAAGCCATGGGTGCATGAAGCAATAACCGCTAATGCACAAGACTCTGGAAGTACCCCAGTTGTTCAGGATATACCACCCAAACCTCAAACAACACAGCCCCCAACCATTTCCATTCCTATTTCCAAACCTTTAGCCATAGAAAACCAACAACCATCCACATCAAGGGGAACCCAGGATACAGAACTAGTATTCTCCCCTACAACGACCAAACCCAACCTAACAACCGTACCCTTCGAGGATCTTGTAGCTGAGATCTACGACCGTATACTAGACGTGGAAGAAGGCAACCTCACCCCTCTTCAAAAAGCCCTTCTCCATGCTCTAGATACACAGAACACATGCCGTGACAGTCTCCGTGGCGCTAAACGTTCACATGAGGATCCTGATGATTCGGATTCTCATGAGGGGGAGAACAAGCGCCCGCGGATACTTGAGCATGTTGCTTCTACTAGCCAACCCTCAAAGCCAAACCAACCCTCCACCTCTACCAATGAGCAACCCACTACTTCAGCCAGCCATAAATCCCTAGCCACTCTCTCTAGCATGGTCGAGCTAGACATAACATCCCGAGGTGCATCTCCTATAGATGTTAACCAAGGACGGAATGGAAGTCCTGATGATGCTACCACGAGTACATCTTCTTACTCAGGCCATCAGCTAGAACCTAGTTCGAAACTGATGTCAACGGGCAATCCTGAGGATCCCGGAGTCACCCATTCTCAACCAAGGGAGGATTGGCCGCATGTAACAAAGTATAGAGGTCTGGTCTCTGCGCAAGAGCATCGTGTTGAGATAATTGAGGATCCCTGCAAGTCTCACCAGGATCCCGATGCTACGCCAGACGTGTCGCCACAGCAGCAACAGGCTTCCTCCAGCTACTACAATGATCAAATGCACGATGAACTTGAGGAAATGCTGGTGCATAACAAATGGTCTGGACTCTGGACAGATGTAGATGAAGCACAGCGAAGAGCATACCTCAGAGATCTCTTAGTGAACTGTGCTACTGACGTGATTCTACTTGATCAAAACGAACTCAAGGAGGGAGAAAACTACGAGACACCACCCAAGGAGCTTGAGTCGATCATTAGACAAACAGCGGCTCAAATGCCCAGAAATGAGAAGCCCTGGGAAAAGATCGACATCAATGCCCCCTTTCAAGAAGAAATCAGAGAAAACATCTGGCGAAAAGAGGATAAGGTCAGAGAACTGGATGAACTGAAGATCTGTGGTCTTAACCATCTACGAGGACAAAACAAGGGCGGACAGCTATTTCTACTCAGTCATCACTATATGGGACAACAGAGAGAAGTCTGGCAACACGAACTTCAAACTGCCAAAGACCCAGTCTGGGCTATTCTCAACGTGGGTGAAACAAACTCCCAAGACATCAAACTCTCTGTCTACCATCTACAACGGTCTGACGGAACAGAATTCACGTGCAAGGAAAATGATCTCTATATGCTAAAAATGGATGACATATATCAGATGTATCTTGCATTTCAAGAAATTCCGGGCACTCGTGACACAACTACACAAAATGGGCTGGATGCACTCAAGCGCTTTATGCTCAGACAAATCAAATTCTTTGCCTCTCATGATCTTCAGATGACGCTTGAAACAAACATGCCGAAGACAAATCTCACAAAACCAAAGCTGTATGGACAAGAACTCGAGGACTTCCCTGAGTATTACATTTTTGATAGACCAATCACGCTTATCTATCTAAATCATAAT